GTTTTATTAGCAAACAGCGCGTGCATAATTTGTGCAATATGAACAAAGTTTTTTTAATACTCTTTGGCTAATTTCAGTATATATATATCTAGGTATGTATGTATGTAAGAACCTTTACCTTTACCACGCATCTACGAGTTTACATTTTCTTACATTCTACTTTGATTTTTCTCCGAATGACTTTCAATGAAGGAAAATCAATGGTTTTTTGTTTTTTTTTTTTTATTTTTTGCGACCACCGCCTTTTCAAAATTAGTTGCGGCATAAAAAAGTTTTGTTTGCAATCAAGAATTTGTGTTCAAACATTTTACGAACAGCAACAACCAAACAACTAACATCAAACCGAGTACGAATGCTAAAAAGCCAAAAGTTAAATTATGACTACTTTGCATATTTTAGGTAGCCGGGAAATTGAGCAATGCAAAAGTTCTGCGCGCTTATTGCCAATGTTCGAATTTGCGGATATTACAAGCAGCCTTTGCTCCCACTTCCACAAATACAACGACTAGCCGTTCATGCGCCTAAAAGCTCCAAATGGCTTTAACGGCACATTTTTATGCAACTTATACTTGTTGACTTGAAAAGAATTATTGACTTTGAAATCAAAGCGATTTGCCGTTGGAAAATTTTAGTAGTGCTCAATACTCCGCAACGTGGCTGCCCATTGGCTGCTCGTTTTTAGATTATTGTAATTTTCGCTTGCAGCAGCTAAAAGTATGCAAAAACTTTTCGTGTTTCGCTGATTCCGAGTTATTGACTTTACTGAAAGGAAAAGCAAAATGGACACTGCTGAATCGAGATACACAATTTACATAATATTAATTACTACATAATTTTCTCATGCGAACATACATAAAGCTCCGCTAGAGAGCTATGTATATTAATTTCAATAATTACACGGCTCATTAGACAGTGACTGACTTTTACCTTAGAAAAGAATTTTGTCAAAGAGTTTCCATTCTGATTTCGAAACTATTAGCAATTTTTCATGAAATTCAATAGTAAAAATTACATACAAAAACATTTTCTCTTGCGACAAGAAAAATAACATACATATATCTAAAAGGAGCACACCTAAAAATTTTAATATGACCTACGAACTATCCCGATCTAAGCATAGGATTAGAAAGAACCCTAAAAAATAAAGTTTAGTTAAAACTTACAACTGAAGATTCTTGGAATAGAGAAATAATGCCAACCTTATTCAATTCCATATCGAGCAGAATTGCGACCATTTTTCCTTCTTTCAGTAAATGGCCAAAACACGTAAAACACATATAAAATTTAACAAACAACTTACGCATAAGTAGATAAGTCCGTTAAAATTTTTTGTCTACGAAACATTCTACCCAAGTAAAGTTATAAGGCCATAAATAAGAAAAACAAATAAAAAAAATTAACTAAAAACATAGTATACGTATGTATTCAGCAAGTTTGCAAAATACTTTTGAATTTCATTGGTGTTGATTGAATGATGCTAATATGAAATGTTTAATTAAATAAAAATAGTGTTTTCAATTTATTTATTTGTTTTGTTTTTTTTTTTATGTTTTGGTAAAAAATACTGGTACCGATATTTTTTAAACTTTGGGTTAAAAATTTTAGTTATTTAGCGCATATCGGTGAGGGCGAATTGAGCGAATGTCGGTGCGACATCTGCCGATAACAGCAAACAACAGTTATAAACTCTGCTACTAGGTGGTATGCGTTGATTTTTGTGCTATTGGCGGCCATCTGAAGCAGTTTCCTCGAAATAGTCGGCTGATGCATGAAAACGCTGCAGGAAAACAGCATTGAAAAGCTGATAAGCATAGAAACAGAAAGTCACTAGTGAGTGGAGATTTGCGCAGACGCTTATTTGTGTAAGTTTGTTTTGGGATGTTATTGGAAAATGTCGCAAAAGCTCTATAACGCAAATGAAAAACTTAGCTAAAAGCTTTTGTGTCAAAGCGATGCCAGATTTATATAAATTTTGCCCATTTCTCATAACGCATTGGCAGCTTTGATACACAGAGAAAAAATGTGTTCCATTTACTAAAATAATAGGTGTCACCCACACCGATATGCGCTAAACAACTAAAAAAAAAATAAAAAAAAATGTGAAAATACCGCCAAATTTTAATTACCAGTATTTTAACCGGTATTTTTTACCAAAATACCAAATAATTAATATCGAATGAAAATAAATTGAAAAAAAACACTATTTTTATTTATTTAAACATTTCAATAATTAGCATCAACCAACACCAATGTAATTCAAAAGTTTTGCATTTTTTCTTCTCGAAATAATAATGGCCTAAATGTAGTTCATAAGTTTCAATTTGAGAATTCAAACATTAGATTTCAGTAAAAAAAAATCCATTATTCAAACAATGTTTTGATTTAAGGGAAAATTTTTAAAAATCTAATTTTAGCAAATTTTGTTTCTAAAAAAATAAAGTGCTGCAAATAATTTAAAGCGCAATTAATCTTTATTGTCTGATTTGTTTAACGGAGTCATCGATTCATGCTTATGAATGTACATTAAAATGCAGGAAGCAAATTTTTATATCAGATTTCCTAATTCTCAACCCCTACTGTAGTATCACATATAAATTTGGGTACCGGTTGGGCACGGCTAAGGTGAGTCAAAAATTAAAATTATTATTTTTTTTCATCTAATGCCCAAAATCGATACTACTAAAGTCGAGGATACCACATCTTACCAGGGTAAGTGCGGTTGGAAGGACGACGGAGTCTAAATAGGTTACTTTATGTGACTTCTGGACATTTTCTGGACAATCCTGTTGATTGGATCGCCACTTTGATTTGCGATAATAACCTTAATTGTAGCTTCCTTCTAGATAAGACTAATAAAGACAAGACTCGTAAAGCCTCTCGGCCCATATGGACCTGGGAAACATTTTTAGTCGGACGTGGTGTCGTAAACTCAAAGTTTACTGAACGTCTTTATCGCATGATTACCCGCCTGTTATATTGAGATGAAGAAGCGCCAATGACAGAATTGAAAAGTTGTAAACTTTCTTATCTATTCAAAAAGAAATGAGATCTAAAAAGGAAATTTCGAGACCTAGTTCCAGAACGGGAGGTCTAAGAAAACCTTTATTATAGATATTTGCAATCACAATGGACAGATAGCGCAGTGAGAGAGATTTTAGCCTCCCTTCTCACAGCCAAACAGGCATTTTTGATTGTCTAGGTGTTTTAATATTTTTTCGGAATAATTTTGTGATCTCAGTGGGTATAGGGAACTGACGAGGGACCTTAGAAAGTTCACATATTTGGGACAACCTTACACTAGGAAATATATAGAAATTTGCTCTCCGTCCCTTGAAAATTACTGATACAACACATACTTTCTTAACCTTCTTACAATTCACGTTTGCTTCTTATTAATCTTCAACCTCTTGAAACCATAACAACTATTCTTTCACTTGCTTTCGCTTTTAATATATTTCACGGGACTCATTTTCTTGTATCACTGAGAATTCTACGTAACTTCAATCCCTTCTATCAAGATGAAGTCGCCTGCTCTCTGCGGCTGCAGAATTCTATCGGTCTTGATTTCTCATTATCCTTTTAATACATTATAGTGTTTTATTATTACTAAGGGTTTTTCTAGCTTTAAGGAGTCAGCAAGAACTTTGCTTGTGCATTGACCTTATGAAATAAATAATTATGTATTTTAAATAGAGCTGACATCAGGTTTTTCTTCCCATATACATCGGAATGATCTGGACTTGGCCGGACATAGACTAATACATTTCAATTTTTCTACGGGTTAACCTCTTGCCACTGAAATCGGTGGTCTCTCAATACGGTTTTCTATCTCAAGATAAAATAAAAACAAATCCTTTCCAAATCTTGCATAATACCAAATACAAAACTTTGCCGGGCAAAACTGAGTATATCGTGAATTTTTCTAAATATTTTCCGGTTTCTCAAGTAAAAAGTTTCTATAAAAATATTTTTCATGCTTTAACGAAAACCATATGAACCAAAGTTCCAAACCTTATACACACATAACTATGAAAAATTTCACAAATTTTCCTCAACATTTTTAGATTTTTAAACGGAATTTTTATAAAATTTTATTGTTGCAGTTACTTAAGAAATTTTAGTAAAATAGGTGAAAGTTTTAAGCAGCTAAAAAATCGCCTGATTTTTAATAAATTTTTTCTTGATGTCTTTTGCGTTTTTCTTTCATATAACATGTGACATTAAAAAAAAAACTTGCGTTATAAAAAATGTGGTCTGTGCATTTAACCAAACTGTTTGAGGTCCGTTTGAGTCGTACACCCTCAACAATTTTTTGACATATTTTTATTTTTTTTTAATTTCAATTGTTTTATTAAAATTTGCAAGCCTTTTAACTGCATATCCCAAAAATGTTATAAAAATTATGATTAATAAGCTCAAAATTTTGATGACAGTTTTTGGAATTTTTCTAAATAATGTATAAGGTTTGAAACTTTGATATTTTTGTAAAAGAATAAAAAAAAATTACTTGAAAAACATTGAAAATTTTTTAGAAAAATCACTATGTACTCACTTTTCCTGGGCAGTGTATGCACAAAATTAAATTCGCGTATTAATTTAAATTAAATTACGTAATAATAATACGTAAATCTTCGTATTTTCATACTGAATTTTGCACACATTTTTTTACTCTACACATTTTGTGTCTAAAGATTTTCAAATTTTCTTTTCTCGACAGCACCATTCTGGCAACGCCATGCGCTCTTCGCTCACAGATGGTTGCTGTGTTTGCCCAACTGTTCGGCCCCAGCAAACATGTCGTGAATTGCGCGAGAGAATGTTGTGCCAGGACCAGCAGCGCTTGAAAATATTTTATTATTGCGGTAGAGTGCCTACAAAAAAAGAAAAATTTATGAAAGAGTTCTAAGTAAAAAAAAATATTTGCCAAGTGTGTGCGGAAAGTAAAAATACATACTCAAATGTGAAAAAACAAGAAAAATGTATAATATTCGAGGTAAAACGAATAAATTGCATTTAATTAGTAAGGGCATGAAGAGCTTAAAGTAATACCGTTACGACAAGGAATCGCTTACAATGTGACCCAATTTGCAGTGTGTACGTGTGTGGCTAAGGAAAAAGAAAATAACAGTGGAGGTGGAAGTAGTAGTGAATTGAAGGAAATTACGTTTTGCTTTAAGTGAAAATTGATTGCGTCCACTAAAATACACACATACATATATTGAATTATTCTTAACACCAAAAAATTCAAGGCCTACTACGCCTTTCATAATAAATGGTGTGAAAAGCGCAAAAACCCGAAAAGTGCCATCGAAAAATTCTAAGCAGGATTTGTGGGGGAGTTGTGCTTGCCTGGCGGTGGTAGCTGAAATTAAAGGACTTTAACAACAAAAGCTTTTGAAGTATTCCACACAGTCAGCAGAGTGCGCCGTTCATAAATATTTTTGGTTTTTTATTTCGGGACAGCCCAATGTCTTAGATATGTACGTAGCATGCGAGTGCGCCTAGAAGCAAACTACAGCAGGCGATATCAAAATAACAATCTACATACATACATATTCATTTATGCATGTATGTATGTGTGTGTGCAAATATTTTGCAAAATCGTATACGTATCCGCTAAATGCTCTCGCCACGATTATTTCTTCGCTGTGCTTCTTTGCTCACATGATTTTTGCATTTTGACACATTTTAGCGAAGCTAGAAAATTTTCCAAAGCAAAATATGAAAATGTTTTAAAACAGTTTACTCCGCTCCCTTTTTGACAGCTGATTTTACATGTGCAACAACAAAAAAAGTTTCACAACGAAACAGCACCAAAAAGTATGAACCAAAGTGAGAGAGTAAGTGGTGGGTGCTGAGCGTAAGCGTCAAAAATAGAAGTAGCCGTGAGCGCCAACAAAGTAATCGGAGAGTCCTTCGAGTGGGCTGTGCCACTGACAGCTACCAGAATAACAAAAATAATAACAACAACAACAACAACAACAACAACAAGCGGCTATATTACTTCACGTCCTTCATTCATTTACGACAGTGGTAAGTAGAAATAAAACTTGAATTCTTCATTTCATCCTTGCTTCATGTCTGCATGTCTAAATATTTGTGTGTCTCATAAGGTATGCGCGTGAAATATCGCACATTTTCTTAATCCATAATGCAAAGAATGCAAAATATTCATTTGCACACAAAACTTTTATTTGCGAAGACAAAAGCGTCATTATGAAATCGCTTTCTTTTCCACTTTATGTTCGGGGTTTTTTAGTATCTTTAAAAAAAGAAGAATCAATTAGTATTTATTGATTAAATGGAATTGATATCTGCAATAATCCGGTTAGTTTTGTTTTTATTACAAAACGATTACATTTTAAAGGGAAGGGCCTAGAATGAAATTATCTAGAGAAAAATATTTATAAATCTTGGCAGTGGCTTAACAGTTAGCATGATGGCCTTGCACATCGAAGGACGAGGGTTTGGTTCCCGGTGAAGTCTAGAGAGAAGCTTAATGAGGATGACCGAAGTGGCAAATACAAATACGTATGTAAAAATGAAATTATGGCATTCAGCTCAATAGCATTTTTGACAAGAAACCGGTGAAATGTCCATGGGGAGATTTAATGTTTGAGATAAAATTAGCAGGGCTATCATAAACAAGAAGCAGATCCGCAAATACAGCACCTATGCGTAATATATGCACTTAGAAAAGGTGCTGGAGGGGAATAAGTCCTGAATATTTTTGTTAACATTAGCAGCATCTCACGCCGATCGTTCATTGAAGTTTAAAAAGCACATTTCCCACGCTATTGATTAAGAGTCTGCTCCACCATCGCACTGACGCTGATTATAGGTCTGATCAAGGACGTATAAATCCAAGTCCTGGTTACCACGAAGTACCTGTGTACAATCAACAACGTAACGAATAACAGTTTAAAGGTAATAAAATACTAGGATATGCAAGCAAGCCTTTGGGTAAACGCAGTTAAAACGGACACTGTATTTTTCACAAGAAAGTATAGGGGCCCTGCAGCGCCCTGCCTTGAACCCCCGTAAACTTAGGAACACCAAACTAAGTCTCGAGGACTAGAGAAAATACCTTGAATGGGATCTTGAACAGCAAACGCACATTAATTAATTAATTCGTTATATTTACGCGCTATATGCATGCTGGGTAAATCACGTTCGCTGATGCGTTGATGGTGTACAGCAGTAATTCGACCAATATTATTTTCAGGGCCCTGGTGTTGTAAACAGGATCGAGGAAATCGTCATTTTTTAAGCCATTGAAGAGTTACAACGCATTTCTGCCCTATGCTTAAGGCAGCGCTGAGAAAAACTTCAATGGCTTCCTTAGACATAATACTGACATTTATAGTAAAGATTGGTAAAGAGGGTTCTAGACTATAATCGAAGAAAAAAGGGTTTGTAGAAAGGAATTGTAAACGGAAAGAGGCCTTCAAGATTCTACTCAAATACAGGCGGCTGCATATCTATGCGTGTAAGGACATCGAAGAAACCGAAAAAGCGGATGAGATTGCCAAAAATGTTGTTTACTTAAAGAACAGCATTGAGTGACATGAAAAGCTTCGCAAAAAGCCACAGAATGGCATCGAAAAGGCTTGAAAAGACTAGACAAGTTGAGAAGTGTTGTCTGCAATGCTGCGATGGTCATGTGCAAGGCAAACATTTGCACTCAAGTGACAGTCCATACCCAGAATGCGCGCGCAGCTCGATTGTAGGACCACTATGAACAGCAGAGTTGAATAAATCACGCAGGTCCTCAACAACTAATTACGCGAAAGTGATTGCATAATCGCAGCGTAGTACTTCCTGTTGCAGTTATGTTGAAAATTTCGTTCTTGAGCTTGAAATATTACCCTAACGGATAAAAAATATACCGTGTTCCTCTTTTTTATAGGCAATTGTTTTGACTTCAATAGCGAGAATTATTTATTAGTCTATACGAGATTTGTATAAAAATATATGTGTATATTACCTCTTCCCATTTATTCGATTCTATTTGCTTTGCATTAACCCTTAACCCAATATTAATCTCCGCCAAGTCATGGAAATTGAGCAAAAAATTTATGAAATAAAAATAAACCCTCTCCAATTTGCTATGCTCATTTAATTTGCGGAAGACCACCTTCTCATCACGCCGGTCACACACTATTCCTAGGATAGAGCCATAAGCCAGTTTCGTCCTAACAAATTACTTTCGACAGTGAGTGTCCATAAAGTGTCTGCAAATCTTGCCACCCGCCATCCACTCATGAGTAAGTACAGTACTTCCCGGATATAAGAACCAGAGAAAATGCATGAGTATCCCACTTATAAACGCTGACTATGCTCATTTTCAAATCATGAAACAAACGAACGGCTACTTTTATTAAGAAATAAATTTTCATTTAAAACAAAGTGAGATTTCATTTATTTAAAATAAATATGTATATTGTTTTCTTATTTTTATTTTTTGACCTAATAACAATAGTGCATACTCATAGCCAAAATATAGTCAACTCTGAAATTAGTTGCGGATTTTTTAATATAATTTTCAATGGGATATCTGTCAAAAAAAAAAAGCTGTAACTAACTTTAGAGTAAGCCGCCGTGGTGTAGTGGTAAGCAATGCCGCTTCCACTACGCAAGACCTGGGTTCCAGACCTGGTCAAAACAACATCAAGGCGCGCGCCACAAATCGAAGGAGAAGCACGGCCAAACACTAACATATGTGTAAGCGTAAATTTATTACTATTATTATTCACTTTAGAGTCGACTTTATTTTGACCATGATTATTCCCCAATAATATTTATTGTGAAAAAATTTTATTGAGCTTTTAATGAAAACCAGTAAACTCGCTGAAGAAGTCTCATGAGGAGATGTGGTTATCTCTGAGATGGTCAATAAAATGTTTCAAAATAAATTTAATATGTTCATTTATGTATTATGTAGGTGCAACAAAATTCAAATGAATTCTGGTTCATTGATTAGGTTCTACATACTTATATTAGTAGTATTGACGTATAACATCGATTAAGAGTGAATAGTAAAGTGGTTTCTACAGTGCTCAGAGATTTAATGAGCGACCAAAAACTGTACAAATTAAGAGGAAGATGACACATTTTTCGGTGCTGGTATGCGGGAAATGCTAATAAGCGGGGTTGGTTATAAGCGAGCAATACTGTATTACTCAACTGGCGCCCACGCTTGCTTTTCTACTCAGTTAAACACATTTATATCAGTGTGTTCTTTATTTGCTTGTCACACAGCACGTTTTGGCCCAAACAATGAGCATTTCACTGATTTCGATGTGTCTGGCACATCGATGTTAGTTAGAGTCACACAAGCGTGTATTTGTGTGCTGTATGCGCATTTGACTGAGTCTATTTATGTCCTATGTATCGTTTTTACATTAATCGCAGCTAAGACCGTTTTGATGTTCAGATGTCATTATCCTATGCGCAAATCACTGCGAGTGTCAAGGACCTTTCCAATGCTAACAAAAGTGTAACTAAAGTGCTGGAAAAGTGTATCGCAAGGGTATCAATGTCGAAATGATTGAGTGAATTTAGCCGGTCGTTGTGTATGTAAATTGTTTTCAACGTATTGGAAATATGATATTTTAAAATGGGTATGTATGTATGTATGTATGTATTGTGGAAATTATCTCCATTTGATAATCTATGTGTATAGTATATACTTAATGGATTTCGGATAGATGCCACTTTATAAACAATAATACATATATACAAGTTGTGCACTACCAGGTGGACGAGTTAGGAAGAGCCTTTTTCGCCTTTTTGCATATTTTAAGACACACTGTTTTCTGTTATATACAAAAAAGATGTATAGCCGAATCATTGCGCGAATATCTTATACCAATTTTTTCTATATGACTATCGAATTACTCTGTATACGATCTTTTGGCGAACCTACCTCTTTGCACGGCGGTATTCGCAGGCCCCTCGAATGGAACAGACGTTAAGAGGACTTGAAGCGTATCTTCTGTCTATGAGACTCCATAAATTTGTTTCATAATTTGTAGATAAGGAGACAGCGAAGGAGCTTGACTGATTGACGGTGCTGATGGTGAAGCCACGAGGAAGTTGATTCGTATATACCCTTTGACGTAGATGTGCTCGTGTGGGCCGAAGGCATTAAATTCGCCAAGCAAAAGTTAGAATCTTGGCGGTACAACGCTCATATACTACTTGATGGCGTTCCCTGCTCTTTGGTCTCATCGTTCATTTACTCAGTGGGGATGTACGCGCAAATTAGCCGGGTCCGAACGTTCCAGGTCAATAAGAGTAAATCTTTGTTCTTAGTCTTTTTACGTGACCGCCTAAAAGTGCATCGTACAACTCTTTGCTGGGCGAAGGCAGACACAGGCTTGAAGCTGCACTTACTGTTGAGCAGATGCTGCTGACTTCAGTGAGTGTCAAAACGGAAGAAGTTGGGGTGAGCCCACCGAAGACCACATTTCTTTCTGCCGCCACCTAAGGCTCCATCTCGTCGCGCATATGGGTTACTCGCGTTATCTAGATGAATAATCCGAAGTCGAAACATTTGTGAATAACGACTAAGAGATGAGGCTTGGACACAAAATTACAAAAAGTAAGTACGAGCGAATTTGAGCGAAGTAGGCTTGTTGAAAATACCTCCTCCATACGTAACGCCAATTATGTATAATAAATATTCATAACTACCTACCTTCAACTCCTATTCTGAATACTTTAACTAATAAATCTCAGCCGAACGCATAAAACCATAAAATTGTACCAGAACGGAATGATAGATAATACATTTCCCATCCACATCCTTCCCTTACTGCATTCGTCCATTTTATTTTGTTGTCTGGCATAGATAGTTTTCGTGCGAAATTTTCATCCTCATACATACCTACACGCCTTACGGTATTGAATTCGCCAGAAACGGCGGCATGGTCAACATATTTATTGCGAAGCTATGGGATGATTGCAGCGACAATCAAATAATTCAAGCGCCTGAACATATTTACATACTTACTTACATACTTACATAA